ATTTTTTACTTTTCCTTTCGTTACTTGATCTGCTATCATTCCTTTTCATGGAAAGCGTTTCTCTGAAGCACACCAAGCATAGATATGGAGTCCTTACGTTGCTGAGCATTCCAGTTGCGAAATCGCACTCAACCTCGTCCTGCGTCCCCGTATGTTTTGATAGAGTGTTAGGATCCTGCTTTTAAACATTCGTCAATGAGTAAGTGTCGTCGTTGATCGTTACTTATTCGAAACAACGGAAGAATAGGTTGTTATGTGCCAAAATTTCCTTTATCTGCTATTCGCGTTCGCGATCAAATCCCGATCGTAGAAATGACCAATCAGCGTTCCATTCAATCGGAGGACCGCATGATACAGAAGAAGATGAAAAAAGATTTGTGTATGGATGCATAGCACAAGCTGGCAAGGTTGGAATTTCTACTCAAAAACTGAGTCACGACATGGGATGTCAAACGCGGACAGACAGTGCTTTCGTAGGAATGCTAGAACCAGATAAAAGGCTCTCTCTGGAAACTTCATTCTTAGACCCCTCCACTAGCGGAAAGGCGCTCATCGTTCGCTATTGGGCGGGTCTCATTGGCTTTGTGAAGACCTTGGTTCTGACCCGCAGATGTACCCGAAGAGACACTACGGAGGATGTTAATCTGTATTGGGGCGGTTCCAAAAGTATGAAAAAGTTGGAGCTTGTTCTGCTAACAAGCCAGGTAGACAACTAGGATTATAATGGGGTGCTTGAATTCCGGCTACAATTTTTCTCGCGAAACACTCGTTTTGTAACAAGCCTGAAAGGAGATCCCTGACAGGAAATCCATTTAGGAAAATGCTAAAGGCAAAGCATTCTAGTGGCAAATTGGCGGGGATATTCTTAAGACCACATTCATATTGGAAACGTAGGCGTATCGAGAGTAATATCACAAGTGACCTAACACGTTGGTGAAATGGACTTGTTCGAGAACATATTGAGAAGACAGGTATCGAGAGCCGGTTCATAGTATGCCAAACAAAATATCTTTGCTTGCTAGAAGTTTTCGTAGGCCTACCAATTTGAGATTCTGAAGATATTGCCGTTTTTCAAAAAGTGTCCACATACCCTTGGTGCAAAGAAAAAATTTTCCATGAAAAATAGTTTGCCAGTTTAGAACGAAATCTTTTGCCGAAAATATCATTGTGGCTTATCGACCACTAGGAGTTGAATGGTGAAGGTTTCATGACATAAAAAATCGTCAGCTGACCCCTGAGGATTGATTCTAGGTGTCCACATACTTTTGGTACGCACTGTAGAAGGTGGGACGGGAACATATTGGGTGGTGTTCAGAAAATGATGACGGCTGATAACCGCTCACAAGAGGCCCTGAAAGCAAATTTCACGACATTGGTAGCGCGCGTCCCAGCAGTAGTAGGGCTTCAGTTCCGACAAATGATGTAAGGGGTGGAACGGGAACATCGTTGTTGGGAAACAGATGGGGATAACGGCTGATAAGACTTTATTTCAATTTCATGTTTATTTGTGCTGTCATTCTCAGCCCAAAATACCATTCCCGGGTTTCAAAAAATGGACGATGGATGTCTGAAGAAACATGATAGAGGGTAATGGGTATTTTCATTTCAACATCGTTAGCATGAAAGATTTTTCATCGCCAAATTGTTCTGAAATCCGATGCATGGTGGGTGTTCACAGACACCACCTTAGCTCCGTACTCTACCGCTCATACCAAGCGAACAGGCAGCTAACCGATTTCACGAAGCAACTTATTTCTCACCAGTGGGACCTCATGCCCTACCTACTCTCCACTTCACCGAAACCTTCGGTTTCGTGCGTGCGGTAGCGTACGAAGCTAAGGGGTTAAATATACCAGTTCTGCTCCGCCCGCTATCGCGCGCATCACATGGCAGGCTTTAGCGAAACTGGAGGACCCATGGAATATCAGCATGAGGTACTCCATTGACCACCTCATATTGAAGATACACCGCTTTAGATGTGCACCCTATCGCACGTATCAAAAGGTGAGCTAGCTTCAGCACAAATGAGAAGCCATGGGAAGGTCGGTTAGGGCATTTCCCGATGCAACTTCAAGTTGCATTCTCTAGCGGTGGGACTTAACGTTCCACAGGGTATCCATTTTCGACGAAGGCTACGGTGTCACGTGCGCGGTAGCGTGCGGAGCCAAATTGGTATTTGCAAAAGGTACACACATAAAGGGTGTTCCAAATTTGCTTGCGCCAGTATTTATGCATTCATAAAAAACGATGTATCGATGGTTTCATTTCGCGCGCTACTATTAGGTTGTCTCATAAATAGTGTCGCTTTTTTTCAACCAAAAATTTTTCTTTTGAGTTACCATGCTTTACATCGAGTCATATACCATTCGAAAGAGAATTGTCTGCTCTACAAGATCTCGTGTTCTTCTTCCATCTATGTTCCAAGGTTTTCAAATTTGAGGCCTGCGAAATGGGAGGTCCCGCCGACAAAAATTCACCAAACCGACAACTAGCTCTAACTTTATTTTCCCTGCGGAGAAATCAATCAATGATGTACCCTCTACTTACTCATGGCCTCTTCTAAACATTCCACCCTTGGATTGCCGAAAATGGTTTGCCGTGTTTCTTTTCGAAATGGCCGACCAATAAGCCATGGCAATTTTCAAATTGAAATTCTTCCTCTAAAACGAAATTTTTTTACACCAACTGGTGTGTCTTTTGTGAGCACTTCTTCTGCTCTATTCGCTCATTTGTTTTGTTTCGATGCTTGCTAGGAATTAGCTCGAATTTTAGGTGTTTAGGAGTAAGGTGCTTTATCCACGAAAGTGACCGCATTTATTTGAGAAAAATTATCCTTGGGGAGATGAGAAAATCAACCAGGCGTACATTCCTAACTTAGTCATGACTTGTTCTTTTAATTCTACTAGTTTTTCAATGTCTCACCTGTAAAAAAATTTCGACCTCGATCTCAGGTAACGGTGCTTGACTGTCGAGTGTCTGAAAATGGAATGACGCGACTTGTAATGAAATCTAATAATGTTATATTTAGGAGAGGGTATGCATAGGTAGAGGGTACAGTATTGAATGATTTCTCTCAAGGGAAGACAAAGTAGTGATAGTTGTCGGTTTGGTCAATTTTTGTCGGCTGACCTCCCACTTCGCAGGCCTGAAACTTGATAACCTTGACACAGAGGTGGGAGAGGAACATCACATCTTGTAGAGCAGACAATTCTCTTTCGAATAGTATGTGACTCGCTGTAAAAGAATGGGAATTTAGATGGAAATTTTTTGGTTGAAAAAAAGCGACACTGTTTATGAGACAACCTAATAATTAGTTGCGCAGGAATGCATCATTACTGGGGTGAATTTTCAGCATCCATTTGATTATAAAAGTTGATCCATATCTAATCGTGAGATCACATGCACAATGAAGAAGCAGCATCGAATAGCATCATTGGAAACGGTCCTCCTCAAGACTGCACAGATGGCTGTCAATCAGTAAAAGAGGATCACTCCTGGACAAGCCTGAATGGGGGAGAAAATTAGCGTATTCAAGGATAGATCATCTAAGTGTTCGTTCCGCAATCTTAGACGCCCCATCAGAAGCAGAGAAGGTGAATGTATTGGAGTCATCGATAAAGTCTATTTTCAAGGAAATGCTGCATTGCCGACTCATGATATGCAGAAGTGCCATTTCACTAAAAATAGCAAGAAGTAGTGGAGATGTCAAAAGTGGGACGGTTGCCAGCGCTTTACTGGCGACACGTAACGCTCGTCGTTTTTTCGTACGAGGAAAATTCGTGATGGAGTAAGCATTGAATCTACTAACATTTGCATTTTAAGCATGAATAGCGAGAAGGTCGTTTCACGAGAAAAGATTGTTGTCACGGAAAAAAGACTGTTGAAAGAAGGGCAAGCCCTGCTTCAGTAATGTTTTGGGGAGCTCAATGATGAAGAGCCGTTGGTTTTCGTCATTTCTGGGGAAAACAGCACCATGAGCATACTGGAGGTTGTATCGAAACGTTTGTCCAACTCCCGCTTTGGGAACGGACCCTTATGCCCCAGCAGGGCACTGCTCCAGCTCATAGCACCAAACTCCTTCGTCTGATGCCTACGCGACCTGCCTGCATCCGTTGCCACCAGTGATTGGCTCGCTTGCTTGACAAAAATTATTCGCTTAGCATCTCACAGTGTCACTGGAGTCTGCGAGTAAGAGCAAGGGATGTTCGGTTCCTCATACGAATCAGGAGCGTTAAGCGAATTGGATGAGGTTCAGCTGCATTGCATTGAGCAAGGGCAAAAATTCTGGTACGCGCTGTACTTGGGGACTTTTGCATCCGGACACCACTTACTAGTCTTTATCAAACATTACTCATCCATGACGCCCAACATCAGTGTGACCGTTCCATCTATTTATCACATGCAAGACCCAACTTTTGACCACCGCGAACGGCGCAACTAAACCGATGGAAGTGCTATTTTGAACTTCCTAGCAGCTGTTATCCACTGCGATCACGTTTGATCACCCATCGTGTGTGCTTCCGCCCGACTCTCCATACCTTATATAACAGCAAAGATTTCGCTGTCATCGCGCAGGCTGCATTGGGACGGAGCCACTCACTTTGGGACTTTCCTTATCAGCTGTTGACGTTGTTACTTGTGGTCGCCCACCATCCGGGTCTCCGTTCCTTTTTCCGCACAATATGAAAGCGTCAATTTCATAGCCACCGCAAAAGCCATATCAGGATTTTTGGTATACACATTCCGGCTCCTCCAGCCGCTTTTTATATACCACATGCTACACGCTCTATCACCTACTACCTTGGGCCCCTTCTGACTCCACATAACACATATGAATATATGTTTTGTACTGTCAACGGAAAAGGCGTGACAGTCTGTGGAGCTTTTGTTTCGACCACTTTCAGCTCTAATCAGCAGGTATCTCTTTTCACGCTTCCGGTAATCCAATACTAATAATCGAGCCGTCAATTTGTATTTATCTACTCTTCCCATTTTTTCAGAGCTAGCCTCTCAAGTTATTGGTAGGAGTGATAAGATTTTCATCGGTTTGCGATCGGAATTCAAATGGGCTGATGGGACTTCAGAAGACTTTGCTGATAAATTCACCAATGTCAAGAAATGCTATTATGTGAGTTTCACTACCTACGATAAGTGAAATAAAAGTGATAACCCACTGACGCAGCTCAATGGCATTAACGATTTTCGCCCTCTGACGTCGTTCTCTATGTTGGTGATCAAGCTCGAACAGCTCTTGAAGTTCTCCGTATCCGAGATCCATTTTATGGTGTAAGCTTGGTCACTGAACGCGAGGGTTATTTTTGGTAAGAAGAAGAACTTGACTCTCCTCCAGATTTGTAACCTTCGCGTAATCAGCCGAGCACTCGGCAATCCTCTCCGCTCCTTTTTGGAGTATTTGGGATGTTTCTTAGAGTGTTTGTTCTCTCGGAAATTCCAGCATTCTTGAAAAAAAAAGACTGAGTGATCCGAGCTTCTGCGTTAGTCGATTCCACATTTCTAAATTGAATCTCGGAGATTCCAGCATTCTTGAAAAAAAAAGACTGAGTGATCCGAGCTTCTGCATTAGTCGAATCCACCTTTCTAAATTTAAGGGATCTTTTGCGTTAAAGTTGTGATTCTATTTCAACCATAAATCACTGGCTTGAACTTTTCATTCACGATAAGATTGAAAAGAACAGAAAAATTGCATTTGTCTTTATAAAAAAAACTCGAAGCACCGGAATTGCTGCTACCCGTTCAAAGTACCGCCACACATCTGCCACAAATGCTGGCGACGGGAATGTTTCCGCTTTGTTCTTAGTGCCCTCACTGAAAACTCTTTCTGGCCTTTTGATTTATTGCATTCACATCTAACAATTTTACTTCATCCTATTATATCTATGTTGATGTAAAAAGTGTTAGTTCAAAATGAGATAAGCAAGACAAGTTAAATGGTCAATACCATAATAACTAACAGCAGATTTTCATCATAAATCAAGATAAACAATTAAAACAACACCATGCATGTAGTCAGTTTAATGACGTATAAAACAACAAGTATCTTCCTCGAATATAAAACCATAAAATTAGTGTAAGAGAACCACGAAAGTTGCCATGCTTGATAACTATTAATAATTTTACAAAATCATGCTTGATGGGACGGGCCCGGACCGGATTGCTGAAGCTCCATCACGGCTGGTGTATGGTACATTTCTTTGATTAGAGCTTTCATTCGCAGTTTCATAGCATCTTTGAAGAGTTGGTCAATCTCCTGATGACTTTTGTCTGAAGCACCCTCAACTTCTATAGTAAAGTTTGAACGATGGCCGAGAATCTTATCCACATGTGGAGTGATTTATTCACTAAGGCCTTCCTTTTTGTAAACTGGTTGATGAATCAATGACCTAACTGTCTTTTCATCAATTGGAGAGTGAACAAAGGCTTCATTTTTCTTATATAAAGCCAAGATAGCTTCATCCATCTTACTGTCTTCCATGTACACAACTGCAATAACGTACAGAATCATAAATTTCATTGGCGATAATTCTGAATTGGTGGCAACTTTCAAAATTGAGAAATATGGATAAGTTGAGACATCTCCACTGTAAAGCTTAGAATGCATGAAACGAACACATGATTCGAGTTGGTCTCGAATGTCATCGTTAAAGAACAATTTTGTGTAGCGCCATTTTATTACAGCCAAGTTTAAAAATCTGTGCCACGTCATATTAGCAAACATGAGCATTTCTTGTATGTAATCAGACAATGATGCAGGGCCAGATGACAAATAACCAATGACAATTAGTCCGTATACTTTGGCATTTTCACTAATTCCTCGTGATCCTTTTGCAAGGGATTTTAGCTCATCAGGAATAGTTTCAACAAATCTGTCAGCTGTAGGTTCAGCTGCAGCTAATGGGATTCTAAAGGCTACGACTAAGCCAACACGGATTTGAGCTTTTGCCATAGATTGTGCTAAAGCTTGATGGTCTGATCGACAAATTGAAAAACCTGCAATAATGATTGCGCAGGCCTTAATATAAGCCATAATTTCTGACCCAGGATCCACAATGTCATCAGGATTCACATTTAAGTCCATATCTTCTGCAATTTCTTCATTGACCGTTTCACTCGACCAGCTTGGTTGAATTGCCTCTATCTGCTCAAGAAAACCAGCGGTTTGTGCGATTATGGAAAGTAATTGAATGGTACCGTTTGAGTACGCCATGTCGATCAATAAGGGAAGAACCCGATTGTACTGCCATTTCATGAGATATGTGAACAATTGATCGCATGCATCTCGCGTTTTTGGAATCCACGGGCGAACCATAGTTGGCGTTACAGCCAGATTGATGGGTACGAAAACATTCAGATTGAAACGTCTTGCAGCATCAGAGAACTGTGAGAAGCGCGGGTGCACTGTAGAAAACAGATTCCGAATACTTGCATCCTTTTTGTCACTTTCAAGATGAGACGAAATGATAGGCTGCATTATAACGTACTTTCACCAGAATGGAAAACTATGTTTTGATATTGACGTATGGATAGCTAAATGTAGAATCCAGCATAGAACCTCTATACTGTATAGTATAGAGGTATATGTATACAATATATATATGTATACAATAGGTATATGTATACAATACCTCTAGCATGATCTATTTGTCTGTGTTCTCCAAAATCGCATGCTTTGGCCCGATTATTTCACTGCGTCACCTTATTGGTGGCAGCCCTAGTGCGGACTTCTTTCCATGTCCCCCATTGGCTCCGCGGATTTCACCTATGATTGTCCCTAGGGTGTACTTCTTGTAAGTTTGTTCCTTTTCGGAAGCCGAATCTTTATGTGTGAAAATTTGTGTACTGTTTCTAGTGATCACAACTGATACATTTGAGAGAGAATTGAGATTTGACATTGAGAAAGAATTTTTCACGAAGGATTCCTTTGAAGCAACACCCCCAGATCGAATTTGTACAGTCACAACAGCTGACAGTGCAATACATGCGGAATTGACAAAAAGTTCAAGACCATCCAAAACCGTCGAAGGAACCCAAAAGGAAAATTCCTCTTGAAAAAAGGAGGAGCAGGGAAAGACGAGTTGTTGAAAGCTGGCAGGTACCCGACAGAAGACCCGTCGTGCAGCGGCAAAGCAGAGTCCGCGCACAAGCCATAGGGCGAACTGTAGTGATTTAGCGTTGATTACAATGAATGTACCATTGTAAGTCCTACATCGCACATCACGCGCTGCGACTCGTCCGCTGACACTGCCCTCTTGCCGCACGAAGGCCTCCTGTCGAGTATCCGGAAGTTGCCTGCGCCACGGCACACTAACCCGAGCGTTTCTGAATTAGCCGCTATTCCGTAATCCACATTACGTGTCATGGGATGTGCGATGTGGCTCGTCCAAATGAGATAAGATTGGTTGCCAAATGTTAACTTCGTAAGATCCTAGCGCCATTGTCGCGCACCTTCGAGCCACGACAACGGCACATCTGCTACAAGTGGCCTATCCCACCCACTGAATGGATTCCTTGACGCAACTTGTGCCGAACATGTAGCTTTAGCCATCTTCTCTGGGAAGCACTCAGACCACTTTTACAGCGGCTCGGCACGTGTAGAATTCTGTGAAGTGATCGACCACATTGAAAATGTATCTCAGTTCCGTCAGATGTTGATCCCGTCCAAGACGTCTACACCAACAACTTCATAAGAATTTAATACCATGAAAAGGTCCAGCTCTGATTTCATATGGAGATGGTGGATGTGATAAAAACACCCCCAAAAACATGGAGATCATCCCATACCATCCTTTCCCAGGAGAACATTTTTGACGGGCTTTTCTACCGCTGCACACCACAACTGTAAATGTTAATGATCACCCCCGTTTTCTAAGCCTTCTCCTTCGGAAGAATAGAGTTTTACAGTGTCGTGACCAGGTGCTGACTGGAGAATGCATCGGCGGTGCGTGCACACGGACCACGGCAGAACGTGGGAGTTGTCGGGGCCCACACACCCTCGCGGGGTTCACCTGTCGCGCTGAATGCTGCGGCGCCTTGCCACGGGCAGTTAAGGCCTTATCCCTGTAGACCTACGATTTACACACTACGACATTGTACTACTGCTGCGATGAAATGAAGGTGGTTTTAACCGACTACGCAATACGCACATAAACTACACTGATTATTGAGACCGGTTTATGACTTACGCCACATTGACAATAGGCTTATTGACTACGGGAATAAAGAGACTACAACACATGAGAATATAAAGTTAAGCATACCTGATGATGAGGAGAACTAGATGAGAAATAGATACCACGATCGACATGTTGCGTGTGAGTTGCCCAAGGGTTAGGGTCAGGACGACTGCGCTGGTCCACCGACTTGTGCCGGGCAGATGACTTCTCCGGCGTGACGAGGCAAATAGGACCAACTGCGCTTGACGGGTCCAGCCGACTGACTTGAGAGACGAACCGACGCGACCGACTGCACTGACGACACAGACGACACTGACTTGAATTGACCAACTACGCGTGAGACTGGCTTTTCCCGCGCTCGCTTCCAGTGCTTTCCATGCTTCGCGGTAAGACCGCATGCGATTTCGAATGGAGCGCGGTTTCATCCCGGCGCATATCGTATCCCCAGGTCGTACGCAAGTCACGACACTCCGGGCGGCGAAAGGAGATGCGCCGGATGCCGTTTAGCGACTGCGACGAAGGAGAAATTGAGGTAGTAGGAGGGTACTCGCATCCCGTCGATCTACGGCATAACAAAAACAGACAGACTTTTATATACTATGAAATGGCATGGGTAAAATAAGGTAATGTAAAGCTTCAAGTGACATCGAACAAGGTGAGGCCTTAAGGGCACTCGAAAAACCATTACAATAAAAAGTGGCAATAAAGCAAAGAACTTCACGAAATGGGAAGAAATATACAAAAACTACAGACAAAGCTATATACAAAAACTAGTAAACAACAAAAAACTACGACACAATAGGTAACTGAGATCCAACCTTCTGAACGTCGGCGACGACTGCGCTGTACCATGATGTTGTGGAGACCAACTTGAACCGAACATCCAAACTGGAGACTAAACATCCAATCGTTCAAACGTCCTATCGAACCAAACGAACCAAACGTCTAAGCGTCCAAGCGTCTAATCGTCCTATCGTCCTATCAATCCAATCGAACCAAACGTCCATGAAGGTAGAAACGATGCAAAAAAACGTAAACTGCTGCTAACCTTGCGTCTTCTTTATGCGTCTTCTTAATGATGGCGATGGTAGTTCTCGTAGATCACGTACATAGCTGAGAAGAATTTGTCCACACCGGGACCAATGTCGCGAACTATGTAGTGACTGTAGGGGCACAGTGCCGGATGGTGCTCAGTAGAATCGCAGAGACGACAGGAGTATCTCGTCTGCAGTATCCGGGCGAGTGCGCTTTCAGACAATACAGACATTTGCCATCAGAGACTGCGGTGATGGCGCGATCTGACAGACTCTTGATGTTGGGACAACCTGCGCTGAAGTGTGCGCCGGTGGCCTTGCAGAAGTGACAGACCAGATCGGGAGTAGGCTGCTTCTCTTGTCTCTGAGATGACTGCCTGCGCGAAGAGCTGGGAGATGGAGAATTCTTCGCTGGTTTCTGCTTGCGCTTGTCCGAGTGCGCTGATAGAGAAAGGCTGACTGCAACTGCGCGTACTGTGCGAACTGTCCTTGTTGGTCTATGGTCCTGAGAAGAAGAGCATAATGAGGCAGACAGTGAATCGTTAGGCGCAACCGTAACGGTTACCTGTTGTAGAGTAGATGAGTGCGCCGTAGTCGTGATAGAAGTAGATGACCGAATATGCAGTTCCGTGGAGGTACTAGCTGGAGCAGGTTTCAAATAGTCTTCGTTTCGGGCTCCAGTGGAGTAGGTGAAATAGGAATAGGACCTCCAGTAACTGCGCGCGTGTCCTCGATAGTCGGAATATCGTTGAGATCGATTGACTCAGCTGGTAGTGACGACTCGAGTGTGATGTTATGGAGTCGTGCAATAGCGGAATCAATCTTCTTTAACGTAAGGAATCCGGTAGCTGCCTCTGCTGTAGCAGTTGCGCAGATCAGCTTAATATTAATATAGTTGATGGTGACGTTGTAGTGAGCCAGAATATCAACGAACTCCTTGTTGTCCTCGATCGGGTTCAGCACGTGCGGAATAATTAGATCAGACATAGTGTTGCGTTGGGTCTGAATATTGTGGAGGAGCGAGAGCAGATCTTCGTATAACTCGGCTAGCTTCTCCTCAGACTTCCAATATTCCGGGTGCGTGGAGAGATCCGTAATTAGGGACTTGGATTTCTGAGTGGCAGTGTGGAGCTTTGTACGCCTGCACGAGTAAATAAACAGGGTACTTCTTCACAGGCGGATAATTCAGATCCGCTGGTGTGGGAGTATATGCGGCTTCTGCGATAGCATCACGGAATCCATCGTAGATGTTGTGACGTAGAAATGCGTCAATCATGACAAAATCGCGAGCTGCTAGCTGCTCAACACATCGTAATTGGCAGCAAGCGTTAACGACTGCGCGATTCGTAATGAGAGACGTTGCGATGGAGGGACGCTGCGATCTTCTGAAGCGTCGTCGTCCTCATAGGAAGCAGAATTTAAATTGTAGTTGCCCTCAGCGAGCTCAGAAATAAGTTCCAGTGTTGTCTTGTCGCGGTAGGGGCGACGTAGCGGGGAATTGCTTCCAGATTGTATAAGAGCTGGATGTTGACGTGGACGATAAGATCGTCCTTCAGAAATAGGATGAGTAGTGTTCTGCAGCTCAAGAATAGTGGCCAACAGATCGGTGTCCTTAGTAGTGGACTGGTCTGACGGAATACCAACAGTGGATGTCTTCGAATGTTTCGCTGGAAGCGGCGTCTTGTCTTCGGATGAGATTAGCTTCGCTGACCGCTTCATGGGCTCTTGCTCGGCAGTAGACATGCAACGACTTGTGCGCGGAAACTCGATCTTCAATGTTGGAATAGGCAAATCGGCTAACTTCGGATATTTCGGCATAATGCGCACAATACAGACAGACAACTATTGCAATAATAAACTGTGAGCAAAAAGCGAACGAGAAATACTGTAAAAGGCAACGAAATCAAAAAAAGACTTGGACGGTACGTAGGCAAGGTGCCAATGTGATGGAACGATGAAATGAATTGGCTGCGTACGCTTGCCTGATTTAGGGTGAGTACCGTAACCGCAGGCTAGAGCGCTCTGTGCCGTGTTAGAGCTCGAGAGATCGCAGACTGTACCAGAATCGATTGGCTTCTGATCGGCTCCGTGATGGGATTGGAGCAAGGAATAGTATCCAAATCGAGGGACAAGGATCTGGTAATTAAAGAAAGTGCTGATAGGCTCAGTGGGAAGGCTGGCGAGCCTTTATATAGGAGTGGGAGGTCTTTGCCGTTCTTGATGGCTGAATGCGAGTAGGACGTAACCTCGAGGCTTGGCATGCGACTTCTGATGAATGTTGAGGTTCCTGTGAGGCGTGAATTTCCAAAGGATATAGATGGTCAACTGACCTCTGGAGCTGATTGCCATTAGGAAGACGAACTGTGACACTCCTAATTAGGCTTCGATGATTCTGACTGACCCGAGTTATCACCGCTAACGACCATTGACCGCGAGGTAGCTGTTTATCGCTCAGTAAAACGACTTCGCCTACGCGTGGTATTCAAGGAGTAGACTTCCCTTGGCGGACTGTAAATGAGTGGCGTTGAGCCACGGCGTTGAGATAGTTCGCTGACCAGACATTCCAAAAATGGTTGAGGACTTCCAGGGTGGATTCGTACCACTCGACTAGGTGTTGTTGCGAATAGTCGAGGTGGGAACCGTCCAGTAGGGTTTGAAGTCGAACTTGAGGAGAAAGGAAGTCATCTGGTCGTAGGATAGTAGGTGAGGATATATTAGGTGTTTCAGAAAGTTCTGTCGTTTTCCAGCCCCTAATTTTAATGCACGTATCTCGCTTGGGCTAAACCTTTCGGTTGATTAAAAAACCATTTGAAAGCGCGGAATCTTGTTCTATAAGAACCGTTCAACAGGGTACGTTTATTTGGAATGCTGGACCTCTGGAGTGGATGAACTGAGGAGGTCGTGTTAGCATCATGTTGGTTTTTTGATGTATTTCTCTTCAAGGAAGCTATCGAGATCGTCAGAGTTTGACAGTAGATAGTTTAAGGTCTTACTAATAAGATGTTCGCAAACCACTCTGAAGTTCAGCTGGTACAACTTGTGAAGGGTTGGCCGTGCGATGTGCGTTCAGAACCTTTCAGGATGTGGTGTGCTCCTTTATAATGAGGAATGCTGGACCATCCGGTCTAGAGTTTTTGTAAGATTTTTGAATTAGTATAAAGATTGATTCTCACTGTAACAGTTCATCTGATACTGAGAACATGGCGAGCGCTGCCCCATGAATAGCTGCCCAACCCTCTCCAGCACAGTTTAAGATCTGCAAGTTTGTAGAGCTTCATCGCCGTCGATCTATTCAGCAAACTTTCGTAGACTATTAGAGAAGAATCCGCTCTTTATTGTACGTGGCAAATCTGTAGAGAAACGAGTCGCTTTCACCACATAAAACCAGCGACATTTGATGGACGATCTTCGAATGGTGATTTGTCGCGGCACGCACTATCGAATTTTGTAGACTTTCCAGTTCTTCCGTATAGTTGGCTGGACAAACCATATACGCCCACGGTTGGGCAGAACCTCCTCTATGGTCTTACGCACACGTGCTTCAATAGACTTTTGGCTAATCGGAGACACCGTCCGATGTCCGACCATCTCTCAGCATATCAAGGCTCTCGCCTTCCTTACAATAAATTTTTTAACTACTGCTTCTGAGACATTTATTGCAAATCTGGGCCAAAGCATCGTTTGATATCTTGAACTGATCCCGCACGTTCAGTCTATTTAAAGCTAGAAAAAAAGTCATGCCAGCTTGTCCTCGAGTATACTGAATTCAAAGCTTTGAAAAGCATATAAGAAATATTTAGGATAAAGTTGTGCTGAGCATTGGAAGAACTGGAAAAGTTCTTTAAAATGACATCACATCAATTGCAGCTTTCCTAGATTTCAAGGGAATAAAGATCCAAAAGTGGAATGTCAGAAACGACAGAACTTTCTGAAACACTAATAGTATCGGAGATCGATGTAGGGGGCCTTGAATTCAGAACAGCTTCTATTTCGTAGAGGATGGTCTGGAGCTGCTGCAGAGGCAGTGGTAACGGCCAACTGATTTCCTAAGAGCACTCTTAACGAGGCCTACGAGTCTCTCGTAAAATCCGCCTATCCATGACGACAACGGTGTGATATGAGCTTCCACTGAAGATGGTAAGTGCTGGAATAGCTCGAAACGCTGTTGTAACACAGTGTTCGCTGCACAAAACGTAGTGGCATTGTCGCTTAGGACATAATCCGAAGTCCCTCGCCGTGCGATGAAGCGGCGAAATGCAAGTAGGAATTCCTGGGTGGAATTGTCCAAAACGAGTTCCAAGTGGATTGCTCTGGTAGCCATACAGGTGAGCAAGGATATCCATACGTTGGGACGTTGTAACAGACGTGTCCTTGTACCGAAAGGGACCTAAGTGGTCCAACCCGATGTTCTGGAAGGGTCATGATCGGTTGACTCTTTCCGGTGGGAGACTCGGCATAGCTGGATATCTGTAGGGCAATCCGTTCATCTTCTTGTAAGTGACGCAGAATCGTAGTACTTCGCCACAGTATTCCGTATCGATGGAATAAAGTAGGAACGTCGCAATGTGGCTATCGTAGCATGCACTCCAGAGTGAAATTGGAGGAGGTGCACATGCCGAATGATGAGTCTGACAAGGGGGTGTGATGGAATTAGTAGTATTGTTGCAGGTACTGGATTAGCTGCATGTTCCATACGGTGGGGACAGCGTATAAGACTGTCCGGTGACCGATGAACATTGAACTGGTGTAAAGGCATTCGAACAAGGAGCATCTCGCTTTCCCGATATTGCTCTTTCAGAAGCAGCGTTTCGGCAACTTTGAGTTCCGCTGCAGAAATGCCCTTAGAACAGGCGAATTGACTGGAGTCAAAGGTGGATATGGGATAATTGATCCTAGCAGCTAGTTGTACAATAAACTTGAGGACATACGCAGTTGAACGAGCAAGCCTATTGTACTGACTATGGTACTGGAACCGGAATGGCGACTTATAAGGGGGTGTATCCGATAGTGAGAGGGTCTGATACTCATCTTTCACCTCGTCGTCATTCGGTGGGAGCAAAGTGAAATCGTTCACTCCTGGCCATTTGGGGGTAAATGGAGGAATGAAGGACCTGACCACCAAATGTGATCCTTGGCGAGACTGGTCGTTATTCCACGTGATGCACAATCGGCGGTTTTCTTCCGAGTTGACATAATAAAAGTGAACTGGAATCGAGAGGGAACGAAAACTCTCTGCAATCTTCCGTATCTCCGCAATCCTGTTATTAACAAATGTGCGGAGTGGTCTTGAAGAATGGACCCAGTACAGGACTATTTGGGAGTCCGAAAAGATGTGGATAGCTGCTATTCGCCGATGGATTTGGCTATGGACAAATCGAACAAGACGTAGGCTGACTAATGTGGCTAACAGTTCCATTCGTGGCATGGTGACCGATTGACGTGGTCCAAGCAAGGATTTAGCCATGAGAAGATGAACTGTAACCGATGAGCCATTCCGGCATAGGAGGTAAACACAGGAAGCGTATAAACGCTTAGAGGCATCTCCAAACACACAGAGTTCGTACTGAGGGTCCAATCGACTTGTGGATGGCAAAACACATCTTGGAGTTGGCGGAATCGGACTATTGAGGTCTTGGACAAGCTGATCCCAACGGTCGATGTCCGTGGCATCCAACTGATCGTCCCATTGATACGACTTCGCCCACAGATCTTGCAGGAAGACCTTAAACGGGGCAAGAAATGGGGAAAGGAGTGCCAGGGGGTCGAATGTGGATGCTAAAGCTCTTAAGGCCGTCCTTTTGGAGGTGAACCGTCTTGATAGGGACAAGGAGAGTATCCTGAATTGGTTTCCAGTGGAGCCCTAACAATGATACATGGGTGGAACAGGGCATGCGATCAGGAGCATCAATAGCATTATTGACATGCAACGAATTAGAAAGGAACTGTCGTAAATTCATATGCATAGAAGCAAATAATGCTTTGGAATCTTTATACTTACGTATCGCTTCTTCCTCTTCTGACGCTCCGAGCGGGATATTGTCCACATAGGTGTTGTGTTCTATCTCCTTGTTGAGTGTCGAGCCGGGATCGCGCCTGAGATAGTACAAAATAGATGCTGCAAGTAAAAACGGTGACGCTGTGATCCCGAATGAAACTCTGGTGAACCGAAATATGCGAAGGTTGTCTTCCGCTGGTGGCGTAAATGGGTCTATCAGCCACAGAAATCGAGTAGCATCCCTTCGACTACGTTGCAAGCGAATTCGCAGGAACGCTTTCTCTACGTCAGAAATGGGACTCGGGGATCGGGTAAAGACGTGACCTGAGAAGAATTCCCACAAGGTCCGGAAGTATTGATGGACCGGGATGGAGACAATCATTGAGACTAGGCATTCCCTTATAATGAGAGGAAGCATCGAATACAACTCTGAGTCTGGTGGTAGTAGACGACTCCTTGACCACGGCTTGTGGAATATAGTAGACTATTGGTGTTCGTCGACTTCCTCGATTATTCCTTTGTCAAGGTAATCTTGTATCGTCGAGGCATAGAGTTTCCACAGATCCGGCTTGCTGGTGAAGGATCTGTACTGACTTTCAAGTCTTTCCAATGCAAGGAGCTTGTTATCTACTAGCCTAGGATGAGATTATCTCCATGGGAATTGCACATAGAGGTGTCCATCGATTTCTTGGACTGTGTCTTGGAAACGTTGAAGTACTTGTGCGTCTTCTTCTCGGAAGGAGGGATCTAGGTTGTCGGTGATCCCGATGACGTCTAAATAATCGAAACGTGATATAGGATCTATAAGGTCACTACTGGATGGATATGCGTCTTCGTCCTTTAATGGAAATGGGACTTCTTGAAAGTTAGTGTTGAGTTGATGAAGAGTGGCCACGAAAAAACTTGGACCCTGAGAGGGTTGGTCCAAACCGTGTGTGACAAAGAACTAATCCGGATGGAAGTGTTTGCGCATCCGTTGTCACAATATCCCAGAAGTAGTCGATACCTACTAGGATATCCGGTGTGACCGTAGGAGTGGCCGTAAGAGTTCTATAGTCAATTTGAGAGGAAGAGGTGAGGTGGAGGAAGTACTTGTCCTTCCTAGTAAGACTTACAGGGGGACATGGAATCGTAATTTTGTCCTTAGTACGGAGGACAAGCTGGAGTTTCTTGTTTTGTTTATCGATAAGGGTGACATGCGTGATCCCTAAGTGTTCCGTTGTACGTATTCCTCCAAAGGTGACTGTGGTAAGTGGAGTTATCTCCGAGACTGCAATTCGAAGCTTGTTGATGGCATCCTGTTGAACAAAGCTTCGTTGTGCACCTGTATCGAGTAAAAGTGTGACTGACACGGCGCTATTAGCTTGTGTATTTACAGCTAAGGCTTCCACTGTCATCAGACTGGAGTTGGTGCTAGTGTCCAATGTAGTGGAGAGCAGCGTCGTCGGAGAGTTTGTATCACGATACACACGCATTAATTGTTCGTATTCCTCGTCGGAATCCAACGCTGCATAAACTGGGGATTCCTGACGTTGCGTCTGATTTCTTGCAATGGGACTGTCGTTGTTAGGACTTTCGTCACGTATTGGTGACCGGAAACGGACTGTGCGATGTTCGGACGTTCTCGATCTATGTGATGTCTCACCGCGTGGAGAAGGTGTTCTGCTATAAGACCTATGCGGGGAATGAGAGCTTTCACGAGAGGAGGATCTTGAGGCTCGTCTTCCGTGGGATGACGTTCTTCGATGATGACGTCCACGGGAATGGCTTCTCGATGTTGAATCAGAGGATTCTCGTGTATAGCGTCTTCGGCTCGTTTCGGAAGGACGACTTCTTCTACCAGCATGGAGACAAACAAGATAATGGTGTTCTCCACCACATCGTGAACAAGGTCCTCGATTGCAAGTTCTACTAGGATGACCTGGCTTGAAACATTTCCAGCAGAGATTGAGGGAGCTGACAATAATACGACGATTTGCCGATGGTATGTAGTGGTGGCAACGTGTCGATGTGTGATTGTATAAGTTGCAAAAACAACACATCGAGGGGTCGTATCGTGTATCGTGGATCCGGTGTTGATGATCGGGAGCTGTTGACGGAAACGGTGTTGGTAGTGAGCTGGGATCCAGATGTAGAAATAGCAATCTTCCAGCTTCTCCTCTCCGATTCTTCTATGTCTTCATTAAGACCGTCTATAAGCTCCGGTAAAGTCCATGTTTTCCCTGAACGATGTTCCAGTTTGTGGACTGCCAACTGCGGTTCACGAGGAAACTTCTTCAAAATCGTCTTCATAAGTGCCAACGAGGTGGTAGTATCCTCGTAACGATTGAGTTGCAGAATAAAGGACTGAATTTGGGAAAGTGTGTCCCGTTGTACTGAAGCTGAATGGCTTGACGCTGGCAGCTGTTCCAACCTCTGATGGAAAAGGTTGTGGGTGAACTTAGGGCGATCATATCGCCTATGAAGCGCTTGTACAGCAAGTTGGTAGTTTTCTGGCTTCGATGGATCATAGCCTTGAACAATGAGTGCTGCGCTGCCCTTCAACGAGTTGGTCAAGTAAATGAACTTGGTCGACAACGAGATATTGGTGTTATCATGTACTGCAGTCTTGAATCTGCACCAGAAATCAATCGTAGAACTTCGTGACATCTCTGTCAAAGGTTGGCAATTCCAACCGACGTAGTTGAATCGGCTGTAACATCGAACTGGGAACGTCTTGATTAGGTATGAATGGCAGTGCGTTTTGGTTCGAATTCTGATGTTCTTTAGCTGGTCGATCTTCTTGTGGAGTACCGGTATCTGAGATGGTCAAAGCGACTCGTCCATGAGCAGTTGCGCATCCAAAGCTGTAATAAGGACTTGTGCGTCTTCCAGAGGCTTCTCGCCTTGTTGTTCATCCCAGAAGCGGTCGACTTCTTGTTGAAGTTCTTCGCAATTCTCCTGAGTCCGAACAAAGGACAACAATGCGTCATAACGGACTTTAAGAAGTCCTGATGCGTTTTCTATCGCGCGTTTGACGGCAGAGTTCACTCCTCTTCGACGTAGAATCGTACGGAGCTGCATCTGCGGCGCCGTCTCGGTATTGATCGGTGTCAAACTGCTGGAATCGATAGTTGAAAGCATCTCAGATAATGTACCAACCGCAATCGTTATCCGTGCTTTGTGTCCGCGTAGAGTTGACATAGTGGACAACGTACACCAGGGAGCTGCTATCGTCCTGAAGGGAAAGTAGAATGTGAATATCCCAGGGTAGAGGAACGAACATGGTAGACGGAATACACGCAACAAGCGAACGATGAGAGAAGGAAAAAAATATGAGTAAACTATAGGATAAAGAGATAAGCAACAAGGAATAACTACAATGAAGGGGTAGTGAGGCAGGCAATAACAGAATGACAGAACGAAGGTATGATATAAAGGGAATTATCAAAAGGAGAGTAGATAAAGCAAGCGAATAACGGAAAAATGACTAACGTGAGCAACTGAGAGGGTTCGTACACAGTCTAGCGGGTGCAAAAACGCAACTTAGGTCAACACGAAGACTGACATGAAATGCAATGCTCGTAGTGGTACTGGTGTGCTTTCCGCGCCTCAATGGGCCGTACAGGAGCACCTCCGCTCACAACTGCCTCCCCATCTTAGCAGCGGGTGGCATTGACTAGCGGCACCCATGTTACCCAAATTGTAGCAATTGCAAGGCGCATAAGAAGCCTACGCCACGAGCTCACGACACCGGTGATTTACCTAGCCAGTGCAACCGACGCTGTGCGGATTATACCGAGGGGACCCCTGCCACTGGTCCCGAAGGTAACACTGGTTCTAGGTACGTGAACGGTATGCAATAGCCCCAGCCGTGACGCTCACGTCAACACTTGCCCACGCGAGAAACTTAACAACATGCGCTTGTTAACCTACTAAGGTTGGCGGAGAAATAGCCAACTGCGCCTATGCGCTTACCTTTTGCGAAGGGACGAAGGGTAGTGAGGATGCGAACGACAGTGAGTACATGGCGCGACAGAACGGGATCGATCTCGACAGCCAAAGCCGTCTTTCGACGACAGTGACTGCGGTCGATGCACCATTTCTGTCGTGACCAGGTGCTGACTGGAGAATGCATCGGCGGGGCGTGCACACGGACCACGGCAGAACGTGGGAGTTGTCGGGGCCCACACACCCTCGCGGGGTTCACCTGTCGCGCTGAATGCTGCGGCGCCTTGCCACGGGCAGTTAAGGCCTTACCCCTGTAGACCTACGATTTACACACTACGACATTGTACTACTGCTGCGATGAAATGAAGGTGGTTTTAACCGACTACGCAAAACGCACAAAACTACACTGATTATTGAGACCGGTTTATGACTTATACCATAACGACAATAGATATTGACTGCGGGAATAAAGAGACTACAACACATGAGAATATAAAGTTAAGCATACCTGATGATGAGGAGAACTAGATGAGAAATAGATACCACGATCGACATGTTGCGTGTGAGTTGCCCAAGGGTTAGGGTCAGGACGACTGCGCTGGTCCACCGACTTGTGCCGGGCAGATGACTTCTCCGGCGTGACGAGGCAAATAGGACCAACTGCGCTTGACGGGTCCAGCCGACTGACTTGAGAGATGAACCGACGCGACCGACTGCACTGACGACACAGACGACACTGACTTGAATTGACCAACTACGCGTGAGACTGGCTCTTCCCGCGCTTCCAGTGCTTTCCATGCTTCGCGGTAAGACCGCATGCGACTTCGAATGGAGCGCGGTTTCATCCCGGCGCATATCGTAACCCCAGGTCGTACGCAAGTCACGACATACAGCGCCTCCGTCTGTCTGTATGTTTTCGGACCGTATTCATAACATGGTACTGCTTAGACGAACACTTGGGCAGAAAGATCGCTAGGAAAGCATTGTCACTATTGATACACTGAAATGGGAGCCCTAAGTTTTTGGAAGCTTCGTACGGTCTATGGTCCCAAATCGGCCGCGTGATAGTTTCTTTCTCATAAAGACAAAGCGTTAAAAGTGAAAACTGAGTGTGGAAACCCATCAACTATACCGTGGAACAGGTCCTCCATTTGAGATTATTCAGAGTTATTTGAGTACCAGTTTGGCTCCACTCGCTATCGCGTGGCTAAGCACGCTTCAGTAGAACGGTGCAAAGCCGTTCTCTTGTATAAGGTGGCTTTTGATGGATTTGATTGATGTTACTAATGAAAGGTTATTATGGAGCTGGTGATAACGCAGTCATTTCCTGCAGCTCATCAATACCCATAAACATCCATCATTTTTCGGGAACCAACATGGTCTAGCGACCGAATAAGGCTCGGATAAATAGCGATTGCTCGAGCTGCATGATAGTTGTTTACACTATCAAGACAGCACAAATTACTATCATGCTTCGATTGTTGAAAAAGTTGAGCGGTTGCAACTGCTTATGAATGTGGCATTGAAATAGAAACACAAATACTCATTATCCACATACATCGACCATCCTGAAAAGCTCAGAGAGATTAGCGGTTTAATAAATCTCAATGGTGACGACGAAGTCGCAGAGAAAATGGAAAGCAGTTCTATCGCGCCTCTAAATAACAACTTGAGTGACTCCTCCGTACTCGAGCTTTCTTATTAGCCTTTATGAGCCGTTTTCACTTTTTGTGATCCATAAAGCATGACCCTTCAGAAGATCCGTTGCCCTTCCCTTCTAAGGTTTCTTATCAGCATTTGTCACTTGATGTCAGTTTCTGTCACCCGCCAAATATGTTCCCGTCCCACCATTCATACGATATACTGGAGGCAACGCCTCACAGTGCTGAGACTTATGCAATGTATTTCGTGACATATACATTCAAACCTCTTTATCAGCCCTTATCAGTTGTTATCACTTTCGGCACCTCACCGAATATATTCCCGTCCCCCCATATCATATCTTGAAATCAACTCCTGACGACTACTGGTGCCCGCGCTATGGAGTTCGCGACATACGCATTCTAACGCTGCTTATCAGCCCTTTTCAGTTGCTGTCAATTTCGGCACCTCACCAAATATATTCCCGTCCCCCCTATATCATATCTTGAAATCAACTCCTGACGACTACTGGTGCCCGCGCTATGAATTTCGTGACAGACAGACGGATGTACTGTACACAAACACACACAGACAGACCTACTTAGTGAATTATATATAGTAGGGATAATAGATGCAGTCCTAATACTGATCTGGCGCATATGGGCAGAGCCAAAGACAAACTACGGCCACGGTACGGCTGTGAACAGACAATGTTCAAGCACAGTTCTTTCTTCAAAAAAAATCTAAACCGAAAAATTGCTTAACCAAATATTGAATACGCCGTGAAATTAGCGGCATATGACGTGATCTACTAATACTAACGGACATGGTGCTAGGCTGCTACAATAGCTGGCAGTTACGGCTACCCAGTGGGGTACGCATGTCAGCTCTGCTGCTTATCGCTAGATCACACAGACATTCAAGGTATTAGGTCGGTTTATAATTTCTGAGACACTTGCGATGTTTTTCGACTCGTAACATTTTATTTCTGTGATGTATTTATTCAACACAGTCTACATCACCACTATTACCAACACATCGCCAAAGACAGGGTACGTGTTCAAGGTCTCTCTTGAAGTATTCCGTAGTTCTGATCGAAGAAAAATTGGATGTCGATTTTGACGTTATAGTGAGTAAGAAATAGGTAAGTTAAGTAAGTTCCCCAGAAGGTGAAGTAGAGAGGGAAGTAAGGATGGCCGTTCGTTGGCACAAGGTGATGCTGCAAGGCGGAGCTAAAAAACTGGCCGCTCGAGAGTCTCCAATCTTTCATTCGGTAAGGTGGAGTCGAACGACCTTAGTTGCCCTACTTAGCTTTTAGTTTGAAGACGTCGCTATCAAGCTGTCGACGGTCATCTTTGTCACTGACGCTGGTATTACTCGGTGTCAATTCCCAGCGGAAGCCCCTCACATCTTTCTCAAACAACTCAGGGACGTAGAATTCAGATGGAGTTAAGCTTCTGCTGTCAGAACTCCGTTCTCCATTCAGTCGTTTATTGCGGCGTTTTGTTATCACACGCACCCAGTGCACATCCCGCTGAGTACGGTGGATGGTTGTTCGAAGGAACTATGGGAAACCACTATGAACTTGATGATGACAGATCGGGTTTAGAGCTGCTCAGGGCATGTGGGAGTCAAACTCTATGGATTCAGACCTTAGCGACATTATCGAAATCTCTCAGTACTCATCTTGTAAGACCAAAAGCGCTCTGACAAATAGCATCCACCTTGTTTAGATTCCTTTCCAATGGCGCCAGATAGAGCATCGAGATTGCCAGTCAGGAGTGTGAATAGTCTCCAGATAAAAGGAGGAAACCCTAGACGAGTAGAGGTAACCACCGGAGCATCGTGGATTGAGAGAGCGTGCCCTCATTTACCTTCTAGTCGATTTAACATGTAGCTCGGCGCGTGGAAGGCGAAGATTCTAATTGATAGTCGTGAAAGAGGCTCAGAAATAGGTTTCGAAGAAATTGGAATTTTAGCTAAAGAAAGCAAAAAAAAAGGTGATATGGCTAGCCTGTCATGTAGGCAAGCTTGTGTGCTGAGTTGTAGGACATCTGGAAAGCTTCAATACGTATTGGAAGATTATTACAACACATGTAAAATGTCTCCAAAATTATGGACTGACCTCATGTAATACAGCGGCAACTGAACTTTGAGGGTCTCGACGGTTTGTATTCGCTTGCGGTTTTATTAATCACGATAGTGAATGTTCATTGAACAGTGCAAGGAAAAAGAGTGTGGAATTATTAGCCATTCTTTCTCCTATAAATGACAATACTTCAGGCTACGAAAGGCGGGGCACCGAACTACGTCAACATGTATGAATATTCGTGTAGTATTACAATTGATAATTCCTACACATCTGACATCGACGCTTTTGTTTGTAAGAAGTGGTAGCCTTTAAAAATTTACTCAAATAAATTGTTTTTGTTTAATAAGCTGTACTGCACAGAAAACGCACTCTCAATGAAGGATAAAAGTGAATTAACTTTGTATAGCTCGTGCTTTGATATCTAAGATCTGGAGAACCTCAAGAACGGTTGTAACCTACACGAAGCTTACAGTCCTCATTTTACTGTGATGTCTGCCAGCTTCAGCAGAAGAGAAGCAAAGCTACAGAAACGATTTCCATCAGAATGATCATTTTCAACATCAACATTTATAACCATATTCAACAGCGAACTGCGCAAGGTAAAAATATGAATGCCACTGCATCATGGGTGCCTGTGGCAGGTGCTGCAAGGAATGTTCAGAGAAAGTGGATCGTAGACGTCCTTAGGGAAAGAATGGACATACGTGGATCGTCCCGTGACCGTGAAAGTCGCCATCGCACGACTCGATACAACAGGAATGTCGGATTTTTTTTTCTAGTGCAGCACACGGAATTGCACCGAACTTCATGGCCAACATCTATTCGGAGCTTCCTTGTCTCAACTTCACAAATTACGTCAATGACTTCGAATACATCATTTTCCGAAGAAGACAGAAATTTAGTTTAACGAATGCATTTCGGATATTCCTGTTGCAATACCTGAGCATCTGCTTCTGCACTCGGAAAAGTAAGGCAGGATCGTCTTCAACAATAAAATAAAACATCCGAATTGTAAGCGCCATCCATTGGACATCGATTTTGCCTTGCATCTTTGCTTATGACCACCATCCACAAAATAACTTCTGGGTATCAAATCACGAAGTTGCTACATAAGTTCACAGAGGCACAAATAACGTAGGAGTTTCACATCATTCAAGCCAGAAAGCAGTTTCAAAGCAGAGGTTTCATCTCGAGAGAAGTTTTCTACGATAAGAACGGTGTGTCTTGCCGCCAATGAAGCCAGACGTGCAAGTGGACACCAGAAGAGATGGAAATCCATTTTTATAAACCGCTAATGTGTGTTCGGTTTGTATGTATGTATGTATGAATATCGGTCTTCCGTTCGCAAAATGAAGTGGGTGATAAGGCAGCGAATAGAATAAAGAAACAGCTAACATAATCGGGTAGCTCGCAAGACTT